TTCTATTGAAGATTCTCAACCCAAGAATATTTCAGGTGATATTCCATTATTTTGTTATGAAGAATATGGGATTCAAAGAAATATATCTTCGATTCAAATGTTAATAGTCAAACATGAAAAATGTCATGATGGCAAATGATTTTATTTTCACCCGGTACAGGTCTTTTTCGAATATTTCAATATCTAAAATTCCATAAACTTGGACTTCTGTGCTGCAAACAGCTTCAACAGCATGTTGATGAAACTAATACATTGCATTCCATTTTATATGATCACTGACCCTGCAGCAACTCCAGCTCCTTTCTGTTATCTTCAGATTCCATCCAGAAACTAATTCTCTCTTCTGTGATTCGGTTTATCCATCTTGATGAGTATCACTCATCCAACCTCTCCATCCACAAAAAAAACTTGGATATCGTAATATGGATTATTACATCAAATTCCATCAGGATTAACTTGATGATTCACAAAAAAGTACCCCAGTAGCTACCCGCAACACTTTTACCATAATTTAATATTTTGAAATGTTCTTAGAATATTCAAATAGGACATCACATGACTTTTGATAAATAACATTCACTCAGAATAATATGGAATGTTCTAAAACTTACTGAGGATATTCAAATAGGAAGAAACATCTTGCATATACCTACAGACGATATGTGGATAGAAGGTAGGTATTGAAATTTTCTTTGAACTATTGGAAGTTTCATAAGTTCTTGGGAATACTTCCTCTGACAAAGAATTCCGAAGCTTCGTCGTTCTATATAACGAAGTCTGGTAAAGAGTTGTTTATTTATTTATTCATTTATTTATTTATTTACCAAAATAGAGGTTACAAACAGATTGAAAATCCAAAACAGAACCCTCTACATAATTTTCTAGTGGGCTTAACAAAAATCAAAATATTTATAAACAAAATAACTAGAAGTTAAGAGTATTGAAGGAAATGGTATACATATACAGTGAAAATTAATGCGATCGCTTGTATGGCACCAACCTGGAGATGGTCTAGAGATGGTCGATTAAATATTTTTTCATTTTGAATTTGAAAAAATCCAGACTCAGTTCGAAATTATTCAGATCATTACAGGTGCTGTTGAATATTCTGAGCATCCTACATAAAATGGTGAATTTTGTGCAGCGTTTGTTTTTTAAAAGGAATTTTGAAAATTTCTAGGCGTCTAAGTAATCTACTTTGAACATTGAATTCAATTTTCGAAACAAGGTTCGGACTCTGCGCTAGTCCTTTCATTAGTTTGAAAATTGTTGATAGATCTGTAACATTTCTTCTATCTTTGAGAGCTAACATCCTGTGTTCACGCATCAGTGGTGTGTAGTCACTATTTATCATTTTGATATTCGATTTGTCAATAAATCTAAGAAATGTTTTTTTTACCCTCTCAATTCTGTCAATATGAATTTGATATTAAGGATTCCAAACAACGGATGCGAAACAAAGTTTACTGTAGACATAAGCATAATGAATACTCAAAAGACATTTTATATTCCTGAAACTGTGACAACTTCTTTTTAAGAATCCTATCAGTTTATTGCATTCGTTGTTTATTTTTTCTATGTGCGATTTGAATGTCAATTTGGAGTCCATGATTACCCCGAGATCTTTAACTTCCGATACTGATTTCAGCTCATGATTTTTGATTTTGTATGTATAATTGAGTTTATTCTTGTTCCTGATATATGTGATTGAGATGCATTTATCAAGGTTCATAAATAGACTATTATGATCACAGAATAATGGAAGACGGTTCAAATCTTCTTGAATTTTTCTGCAGTCGCTTATATCCTTCACAGTGTGATAAAGTTTCAAGTCGTCTGCATATTATAGAATTGGACAAAATTTGAAAGATTTGATTATTTCATTTATATAAATCATGAAGAACAATGGTCCTAAGTGACTGCCTTGTTTAACATATCTGAAATTGATAATAATGATGAAGATGGAAAGCCCTAATCTCGAGTGATAATCGAAAATGAAAAAACTCCACTCTCCGTGTGAGAGTCGAACTCATAACTTCTGGGTTACATGCCCAACGCTCTGCCAATTGAGCTAACGGGACATTCGTCGATAAATCGGCAGGGAGGTCAAGTTCTCGTCACACACCAGGCGGCAGAATCCTTTCAACTCCCGAAGCGAGCGTTGGGCATGTAACCCAGAGGTTGTGAGTTCGAATCTCACGCGGGGCGGTGGAGTTTTGTCATTTTCCATGGTCACTCGAAATTAGGGCTCATCATTATATGAATCTTTTCGGTTGAGTAACCGACAAGAATTATGATCGACTCCTATGTATGATTGCCATCCTAACAGCGATGCTTCGTATAGTGCATGATTTCGAGTGACTTAGGGAGTTGAACGGATTCTGCCGCCAGGTGTGTGATGAGAATTCGACCTCCCTGCCGATTGATCGACGGATGTCCCGGAAGCTCAATTGGCAGAGCATTGGGCATGTTACCCAGAGGTTGTGAGTTCGACTCCGACACGGGGCGGTGGAGTTTTTTTCGTTATCCATTGTCACTCGAAATTAGGGATTTCCATCTTCATCATTATATGTATTTTTTCGGTTGAGTAACCGACATAAATTATAACCGATTCCTATGTATGATTGTCTTCGGACATTCCGTATACAAGGAAACAATGCCAGAGGACGAACGGGAAAATATGGAGACTGTATACAGGGTGGGTCACGGTCGATGGCACCTTAGACGTTTACGGAGAACGGGACATAAGATCATTCTGAAAATTTGGTTACTCAGGTAATTGCTTTTGATCTATCGATTTAAAATATTTTCAGCTCTGCGGCGTTGCCGCTTCTATCGAAAAGTAGCAACAACTTTGTTATTTTAAATGGAACACCCTGTATTTCATTGCATCTTCAAATTCTCTCTGAAGAGCTGATTTCATCGATGTATCACACTTGGGGTCTAGCGGACATGATTACAGAGATATAGGGTGTGAAAAATCGACATTTTTCAACTTAAGGAATTTTTTTTGTCGAAACTATTCATTATTGGTCAAAACGGCTCACATGTCCCTATCCCAACTTTTGATCAACTATCTACTGACATTTAATTGAAACAAATACAGGGTGGTGCAGAATTCAGATTCTTGATCACCCGGTATATGTCCCAATTAAATATCAGTAGATAGTTAATCAAAAGTTGAGATTGGGACATGTAAGCCGTTTTGACCAATAATGAATAGTTTCGACAAAAAAAGTTGAAAAATGTCGATTTTTCACACCCTATATCTCTGTAATCATTTCCGCTAGACCCCAAGTGTGATACATCGATGAAATCAGCTCTTCAGAGAGAATCTGAAAATGCAATAAAATACAGGGTATTCCATTCAAAATAACAAAGTTGTTGCTACTTTTCGATAGAAGCGGCAACGCCGCAGAGCTGAAAATATTATAGATCGATAGATCAAGAGCAATTACTTGAGTAACCAAATTTTCAGAATGATCTTATGTCCCGTTCTCCGTAAACGTCTTAGGTGCCATCTACCGCGACCCACCCTGTATAGTACCATTCTGCCAGAATAGTGCATGATTTCGAGTGACTTCGGGAGTTGGAGGGATATTGCCGCCTGGTATGTGATGAGAACTCGACCTCACTGAGGTTGTGAGTTCGACTCTCACACGGGGCGGTGGAGTTTTTTCATTTTCCATTGTCACTCGAAATTATTAGCTTTCCATCTTCATCATTATATGTTTCTTTTTGGTTGGGTAACCGACAAAAATTATGACCGACTCCTATATCTCAAATTGATGACGAAAGGATGTGCTTACTGGGCTTGTCGAGTTGGTGTGACTGGTAATGCTTGTGATGTGGTGATAGCTGAGATTTCTGTGGAACATTTTCAGTGGAAGTGTCTATAGAATAGTGAAAGGTCACCAACTTCGCTGGATTACCGACAATTGGACGTGGTCAATTGGACGCACGAAAATTGGACGCGTATAATTGGACGCGGCGACAATTGGACGCGGCGACAATTGGACGCGGCGACAATTGGACGCGACGAAAATTGGACGCGGCGACAATTGAGCGCATGCGAAAATAAAAATAATTTTATAATTCCAATGAAATTTATTGCATGGAATATGCAGGGCTCATATCTATAATATAACAAATACCTAACCTAACCTAACCTAACCTTCATATTTATTAATAAAAACAGAGGTTTGCCAAAATAAAATAAAATACACGATGTAGACTATTTATACTTGCAATTGAAAATTGTGTGCAATGCCTCGCAGGTACTTTAGAACTGGTCTGTTATTGTAATCAGCGACCACTGTTTTGATTCTTTGAGTAGTGTCTCGATACATATATAATTATGGATATAAGCTCATCAGTATTTCATATTTTATACAATGAATTTCATTGGAATTATAAAATTATTTTTATTTACGCATGCGTCCAATTGCCGCCGCGTCGAATTGTCGCCGCGTCGAATTGTCGCCGCGTCGAATTGTCGCCGCGTCTAATTGACGCCGCGTGTAATTGTCGCCGCGTCCAATTATCGCCGCGTCCAATTGTCGCCGCGTCCAATTGACTGCGACCAATAGTCGTGCGTCCAATTTTCCACGTCCAATTGACGCGACACCGATGTGGTGATAGCTGAGATTTCTGTGAAACATTTTCAGTGGAAGTGTCTATAGAATAGTGAAAGGTCACTAACTTCGCTATATGGTGTTTCAATGATATCGAGGAATTTTTAAATGGATACCGCCCAATCAGGTGTATGGCCTATCTTCATGGAATCTGTGTGCATCATTTCATGATCATCTCAAGAAGAATATTCATATATCATGGAATTTTCTAGAACGTTGTATGAATATCCAAATGATATATCTCATTACTATTCCTGTCAAACATTCATAGAATATGATGAAGTTTTCACAAGTTATTTTCATTGATTGAGGTTGATATTTCAACATTACAACTGTAGACTGACAATATTTCGAATCGAAACTTACATCAAAGTCCTCACACCAGACATAGAAGATCTTGATGTTGTTCAGCGTCTTTCCTTCTGGAAGCGTCAGAGTGACCCCTTCTTTCCGATACCTACGGATCACATCCCCACTTCCTGTTTCATCTCGCAACCGGAATCCACTTTTGTCTGCCTCTTTGTGGCCACTAGCATAGAAGTATCCACCTGAAAAAAAAAAAGAATCGAATCACCTATCGCATGTTCATTACGGTTTCGATATCCTTCATTATCATTGAAATCAGCAAAACGAAAGCGACCAGTGTGAATGAGAACACTATTATTTATTGAGAAAGAAAATCAACTAGGTAGGTACATTGAGAATAAACGTTGCTGATAATAATTTACACAAGATTGACAGTACTTGTAGTCCTCTTTCAGCTTTATTGTCCATAAAATCATTCAGAGAGAGATAGTATATTTGAAACAAGCACCTCACATCGGTTTAGTCTCTCTAGCATTCAATCTACAATATATCTTACTATACTGGTATCTATGAAAACTGAAGCATAAACCATTAATCGCATGAAAATAATAAAATCTTTCTATAGCTATGCCTCTTCAGTTCTTTGAGAATATTCTTTGTGAAGTATGCAATATGATAGTGCACCATATTGTTGCTTTTATATCTGTTCTCAGCTATATTGAGGCAGATAATATAACTTATCAAAGGAAGGAAGGAATGCTTGAAGTCATCTCCACAAATTCCAATGATGTTGTTACACAATCATAAGGGACATGTTTCGATCTTATGAAAGACCATTTTCAGCCTAATTGAAAGTTCTACAATACAAACAGGTTCAACTCTTATTTCATGGCATATTCATAGTCAATGGTTTTCAGGTTTGCTCAACTCTCTCCTACATGCATTTCTCCTCCTATCTCCACATTCTTTAAGTAGTTGTATTAGCCCTTGTACATGCCTATGCTCATTGTTGAAATTTCATGTTTTATAATAATGATAATAATAATAATAATATTTATTCACTAGGTATATATAAGTACATATAAAAGAGTGTATAATAGTAAATAATAATGATACACAAATAACCTATACTAGACATGAGAAAAGTTTGTGAATAAATCAATACTCGATAAGTGTATAACACTTGTTTCGAGAGAGGTGGAAATATAAATAAAACTATAATGTGGTAAAAGAGTGTAAGATCTACATAATATTTCTATATAAAACTTGAAAAAGATCTACGCTCGCTTATTATATGAGCAATATACGAATCTTTTTGACGAGTGTCATAGTTGTGTTCCGGTAGTTGAGCTGAAACAAAATAATAAAAGTGTGTTGATAAATACACAACATAAAATGCACTGATTATGGAGGGGTTGATATTTATTATGTTGTATATTTATCAACACACTTTTATTATTATCTTTTCTTTTTGTATTGCTTTACTGTTTCAAACTACTATTTATTCCATTACATTCGCGATACTTTTTATAGGCATTGCCAATTTTGCACGTAAACCGAGACGAATTTTTCGTAGCCGGCTTCCCCTTCCTTGATTAGTCCTCGAATTCCGGTTGAACCATGAACCGGAAGTCGTTTTTGCTTGCCGGAACGTGCGTGCCAGCTTAGCGAACTTCAGTAGCGTAGCTAGAAGTCGATCAGCTGGGGGTTAACTTCATGCACAAAACCTTATTGATAATATTTAGAAGAAATTTACTCAAATATATCATGAACATGAACAAATGGATATGAAGAAATCCATTGAGAAATACGCATTTTCTAAGTGATGGAAATATCAATTCTTCCTCGGTATATTCAACAGAAAACAAATACTTTACTGGCTATAGCTCTCGACGAAAAAATCCTGATATTGAGAATTGACATTCTCTTCGAAATCCGATGAATAATATGATGTATATTGATATAAAAATATAACTTATATACCGATATATTCAGTTTTGGAATGAAAATTTGAGTGTATAGGAGGAATATACTTGTTCAAACTATGATCTTGATGAGCTTAAAACTTCCAAGGAACTGATGAGGGTTTGATATCCGAAATAAGTTTATTCGAATAAAGTGAGAGATATTATTTCCATATAACTGATACGAATGATTTTCGAAAGTTTCAAACTCTTCAAGACGAGAGTTTATACAGTATACTCTGCATATACATTTCAATTTTCATGTCGATACTGAATATATTGTTAACTTATATTTGTACATTAGACATTATATTATTCATCTGATTTGGAAGAGAATGTCAATTCTCAATTGCACATGATTTTTATTTTCATGTTTTCCTTTTGGATGTCCAACAGATATAATTCATTCTTCAACCTGGCAAAAAGTCAGGAAAGTGGTTGATTTCTGATGAATATTCAGAATGACATTATGTGCAAATATATATTTTTATAATAATGCAAATTCTCAACATCAGGAGATTTCATTTCGGAATTCCTATCGTGTGTATTCAAAAGGTATAATTTAATAGCCAGGGAAATAGTTGTTGTCTGTTGAATATACGGAGAAAGCATTAATATTTTCATCACATAGAGAATGCGAATTCTCAATGTATTTCGTTATATACCAGGTGACACAGACTCATGATGATATACCCCCGTTTTCTCCTTCGGTTTTTCTAGCTGGAATTCTGGAATTTGGAACATCGAATATGCGCACTAGAGGGCATTTTCTCACATTCAAGGAAAGATTCTTCATTTTCCGGTTTTCCTGGAAATGATATCAACTTTCGATTTTCAGATGAAACACTCTGTATTTCATTCCATAATCGATTAGAAATTAGTAATAGTATTACGAATTCAACAATATCGGGATTGGTTGGATTATTTCAAACGATTACGATGATATTCATGTTCGAATTTTCCATAAGCTTATATGGGTGTGACGGCGCAATATCGAAGTTTCTTCCTCTCTCACACTCACTGAGCTTATGAAAATTTCAAACGCGAATATCTTCATAATCATTTCAAAACACTCAATTAAATCTGGTATCATTGTATTCCTTATAATAATCTCTAATCGATTATGGTATAAAATACAGGGTGTTTCATTGAAAATCGAATTTCAAAATATGAGCATATTCGATGCTCCAAATCTCTGAAAATACAAAGGTGAAAAGGGGGTATACCATGAGTCACCCGGTATATATTAATTTTTCATATCTAATCGCAGATCCGTGATTGGGTTTTCTCATTTCAGAATTCCTTTCCACGCCCTGTATGATGAATATCAATTTGTCATACATCCAAAAACTCATTGATAATCTTTTGAAAATCCCCAACGTTGTATTGCGCCTTCGTGTTCACCTTATATGGAATATGCACAGATACATTGTAACCCCTTTCCAAATAATATACGAAGGACGTCCTGAGGACGTAGGTACAACTGGGACGTGAACAATACGTCACAAAGACGTCCTTAGGACGTCCTGAGAACATCCGATGTTAGGAAATGAAACGTCCCAGGGACGTCCATATTAGGCACAAGCTTGATATTTACGGGTTGATCAAAATGAAATGTCGTATAATCAGTTTTTTTTATGTTCTGGTTCCCACGAAAAAGGATATCCTGTTATGTTCAGAAAACATCGTGAGAACCAAAGGAAATGAAGTAGGAATTGGTGTTCTTCTTAGATTTCTGGAGGTTATATGCCTCGGGGCACACCTCCCTTAGCTAAATGTTCCAGAGCCTCACTGTTCGTTGGATGAACGAGTCTTTGGAAAGAGATGTTCTGCAGGTCTCCAAAGTGACCACGAAAGGATGCGAAGCCTCAACTCGACGGGTTAATCTCGCGGGGACTGCCAAGGGAGGAACAATTGCTGATATTTCATGAAATATCTATGAAATAGAGCCAGATCGCCAACTTTTCTACGGTGTTCCAGAGAGGTGAGTGAGTTAGTGAGCGAGGCATCACCCACGAGACGAATTGCCCTTTTTTGGACAGAATCCAACAGTTTCAGGGTATTTTTGGGTACTGCACTCCAAATATGGGAACAGTATTCCAGGAAAGGTCGGATCTGTGCCTTATAGATCATAAGCTGCTGACTGGAAGTGAAATAGCTCCCGACCCGAAACAGAAAACCAAGTTTTTGGGAAACACTTTTAGCAATTGATCTCAGATAACTGCGTCTGCTAACGTGTTAGAAAGAATATTTTTCCTAATTCTGGCGACGAAAATGTTCCCTAAGATGATCAGATTGAAAATTTCAATGAATTGTAATGAGAAGTTTGTGGAAACAATATAACGCACAGACAATATCGCGCGTTTGACAAAAGATTTTCGATGACACAATGAACATTACATCACCATTTATGAAACATTCTACTTTTCGCAACTGGTTCCGTAAAGTGGGACGTTTCAAAACCGTCAGTTTTGAGAAGTGTCATACTATGATGATCTAATAATATAATATCTCAATGACGTATTCAGAAACAGATGGATAGGACAAAAGTGGAACTATCGAATGGCCAGTGTGTTCTTTCGATCTTACACCATTAGATTTTTTTTCATGAGGACATGTTGAAAATATTGTATACAAAGAAAGGCCAGACAATCTCAAGACGTTGGAAATTTTTATTCGAAGAATAATCGAGGATATACCATAAAAACACATCAGAAATAGTGTGGATATATTGTATAATCGTTTAGCTTATTGTTAGGGAGTCAACGGACAACAATTTGAATACCCACTCATATGAGTAGACTCTTCTTGTTATGTTGTAGTTATTATTGAAGATTACTCATTTGACCGTTTTTTCAGATATCTCTGTAATAATCGTGAATGAAACTATCGAAGTCGTTGAAAAATCTTTCATCAAATGATCAATCAGATGATATAAAAATATATAGGGATTTGCTTTAAAAATTAGGAACTTGATAATAATTCCGGAAAAACTGAAAACGTGGCAACATTGGCGATATAATTTTCAATTAGAATAAAGAAAGATCTAACGACTGCTTACTGAGCTATATGGATGGTTCCATACATTTGATTAACTCATTATAATGTGTCTATACTGTATCCAACTTGATTCATGATAATATTCTCAATTCGAATGAAATTTAATCCTACTAGAAGTTTCAGATGGTCTCGGTTCCCTGATTCTCTTCTTGAATACGTCACTGGTCAAAACGGTTGCTCCGGAACGAAAAACTGGATTGAACCTTGTTTACGGATATTGGTCGCCGTGCGTAATAAATTTTTGCGTTCGATATTTATGCGGGCGAATGAAATGGAAAAAAGCATAGGGTGACTTGAGAGATTATGTAGCACGAACCGGACACACATTCAATTGAAATGGTGGATGGCATCAGTTGATAATTACGATTTATTGATCATTTTGTCAACCACATTCCCAACATAACACTCCTCTACGGATTCGCGATATTATAATGTAACAATAATAACAATTGATGAGAACTCTTTTCTAGAAGAAATACCTTGGCTTTCACCATCACCTTGAGGAATTGCATGAAGAATCATTAATTCCTTCGATATTTTTTCCGAAGACAATTTTCAGAACATGGCCACTGAAATAATACAACTGGCAACACAGTAATAATCAACCCATATTAAGTACTCATGGAGGACAGGGGCGCTGAAAAATATAAACAGATATGGAGGACAATTACCCAATCAGCAATAGTATCTCAAACTTTCAGAAGTCTTCAAGACGTAGGTATATTCCACCACGTGAATACGCCTTTAAGACATACATTTTAGGTCTCAGGGAAGTACTTTATACATACATTTTCCAATGGAATGTGCGTCTTTGGGACGTCTTCATTAGGTCATTCTGGTCCATGACCATACATTGATCTTCCAAATTACAGAAAAATCAAATATTTTCCATTGATTGTTATAGTTTTATCAATAAATTTTTCATTGGTAGGTACGTACAGACTAGTTTTTGAAACCATACTTCATTCAGAAGGTACCTATATGCGCCTCATGTCACTCTGATTTCTATTATTTACGCGTAAATTAGCAAGATGAGCCGTCGTTTCAAGGGAAAGGGAAATGAGGTAGGAATTGGTGTTCCTAAATTTCTGGAGGTAATATGCCTCGGAAAACACCTCCCTTGGCAATGTGTTCCAGAGCCTCGCTGTTCGTTGGATGAACGAGTCTTTGGAAAGAGATGTTCTGCAGGTCTCCAAAGTGACCACGAAGGGGTGCGAAGCCTCAACTCGACGGGTTAATCTCGCGGGGACTGCCAAGGGAGGAACACTTTTTGATATTTCAGAAGAGCATCGTCCAGGAAAATATCTATTAAATAGAGCCAGATCGCCAACTTTTCTACGATGTTCCAGAGAAGTGAGTGAGTTTGTGAGCGAGGCATCACCCACAAGACGAATTGCCCTTTTTTGGACAGAATCTAACAGTTTCAGGGTATGTTTGGGTGCTGCACTCCAAATATGGGAACAGCATTCCAGGACAGGTCGGATCTGTGACTTATAGATCATAAGCAGCTGACTGGAAGTGAAATTGCTCCTGGCCCGAAACAGAAAACGAAATTTTCTTTCACTTCACTTTCAGCAATTGATCTCACGTGATTTTCCCAAGAAAGGTTATTGCTGATAGTAATACCCAGCATCAAAATTGATGTCTTCAAAGGTATGGTTACTCCTGACAATCTTATGTTGGGCACAGTGAGATCGGCTTTTCTAGAGAAAAGGCATGCTTGTGTTTTGTTTGACTTGTAATCTACCAATTTATTGGATCCCCATTCGAGAATTGTTGCCAAGTCCATATTCATGTTGTCAACATTTCTTCCTCGTTCGTTTCTGATTTGTGTTTTGTTCGACTTGAAATCTACCAAGTTGTTGGATCCCCATTCGAGAATTGTTGCCAATTCCATATTTCTGTTGTCAACATTTCTTCCTCGTTCGTTTCTGATTTGCCTGGCTGGTATTGAAGCCCTGGAAGAGAAGCCGGTACGGAGGGTACTATCGTCTGCGAAGCTGTGTACTGGACATGGAGTTGCTTCCAATAAATCGTATGAAGTGGAAATAGAATTGGAGCTAGAATTGATCCTTGCGGAACACCAGCATTTATGATATGAGAGTCAGATGGAACTCCGTCGACCACTACATGGAGAGACTTGTTCGACATAAAACTAGCTAGCAGAGAACATAGCTTGGGAGGCAAGCTATAAGATGGAAGCTTGTCCAGGAGTCCGTGGTGCCAGACTCGATCTAATGCCTTGGAGATATCAAGTGCCACGGCTAAGGTTTCACAATATTTTTCAATAGATTGCTATGATATGTGATATATGAGACGTAAGCGAGCAGGTCACCGGTTGATCTCTGATGACGGAAGCCATATTGCCTTTCGTTGATAATACCTGAATGGTCCAGGTATTCCATGAGCTGGATGTTGATAGCTTTCTCAATGATCTCTTAAATAATTGATGGCAGTGCGATCGGTCTGTAGTTGCTAGGTAGGCTCTTCTTGCATTGCCAAGGAACTGGTTGTACTCTTGCAATTTTCCAGTTGGACGGGAATATCCCCAATTTGTAAGAGTAGTTGAACAACTTGCAGAGAATAGATGTTCTGAAGAAACCACAATAATTATAAGAAAAGTCAATTCCACATACTACAAGAAACAACAAATCATCAATGAACGTAATTGATATTGTTGTTTATTTGTATATTGTCGTTGATTCATCTTGCCAAAACACAATCGAACTTATTTCTCAATTGGATGAGCATTTCCTCATATATTGACTCGAATATTTTCCATCAGTAATTCCTCTCTGAAAACAGACATTAGGCAAAATTGCTCGACCTACGAACTCACAATTTTTTCATGTCAATTTTTCTCGTTGAATTACTGATTGGCAAATTATTTTTGCTAGGAAGAGAAATTCATTCGATAAATAAAGATCTTGTGCTTTTGATGTTGAGAAATTCAATGAGAGATTATTCCAAAACATGAATGTCATTCATTATACACAGCATATAGGAATTTGTTTTGAGCAGACTATTCTCTATTTCACTCTCCGCTTCCCTCCTCCCATGAACATTGGAAAACATGAAGTTTTGTCCAAGTACTCCAAGCTGTAAGTAGATCTCACTTCATTCATTATTTTCATCAATTACACTTTTCCTTGTTCAGTTCTGTATATCTGTCCAATTCGATGATATTATCTTTGTTTTCTCGAACCGAACCAGACAAACCAGGTTTACTTTATGATGACGTCACGGTAACTTTATTATGACGTCATGGTTCACTTGTGTCAGTTTATCAGCTGTTTTTGTTTACTGTTTGGTTTCAGTAGTAATAGTAATATATTGAATAAAGAAATTCATAATCTTCAACAAAAATAGATAGGATCTAGGTCAAATTCAAGAAAATTGGATCATAAATTGAATCAAATATTCATTTTCAACAATAATATGATGAGATCTCTCATTGAAAAATACTTCATATGAATCCATAATTATCTCTTCAAGAAGTATAATTATTTGTTCTCATCATTTATATAACCTCAGATTATAACAACAAGAGCCCGATGCAGTACCCAATCAAAAGCCTCAACTACTCCGTGAACTTCCTCAGTGAGCTAGTTTGTGTGGTTGGTTAACTATCACGTCATAGTTTGGAATAAACTTCGAGGAAAATTGACTAGTTAACTTAATGTTGACCCGGTTTGTATGGTTAACTTCGAGGAAAAATGACTATTGTTACGTATTACCTCTGGTTGAGTTGACCTGCGCTGCTATTCTAGAAGGCCACCATGGATCGTATATACATAGATTAAAAAAACTAACCTATGGTATATAGAAAATAATGAAACAGGAGTCCCGAATGACCGCATATGTTTTGAATATGCTAGGATTATTCAGGTCTGATATGGATAGCTGATCGAGAGATAATTAATAAAACAGCCGAGAGGGTTTATCGAGTTTGTGAATAGACGAATTGTAATTTCTCATAGTTTATCCTGTATTGTTTGTTAATCCCTATCCCCATCCCTTCCCCTATGTAAGTTTGTTTGTCAGGATTTCACGGCAAAAACTACTCAACCGATTATCATGAGATTTTGTATACATATTGTAAGATGTACATAGAAGGGCATAAGGATACTTTTCAAATATTAAAAAAAAAATTTGGAGGATAAAAAACATTATTTTATCACGAAATATCCAACAATCAGACAGGAATCCCTAAACGTCGGTAACTTAGATATTTATTATCAGAATATGTCTTTTGGGACTCCTAAGTCTAGAATCATTTAGATGATGCAATTGAAATGACAAATATGTAACATAACATCAGGTTGACATTTCCAAGGCGCAAATTCCCTTCAGATTTTTCTCTTGTATTAATGTTTTGTATACAGGGTGAGTCAGAATGGTACCAACAAACTCCATTTACGGATTCCTAACATCGTTTTGAGGTCGAAAGTTTGTATCAACGTATGTCTTCTCTGAGATACATGTTGTCAAAAATACGAAAAAGCAGAATTTTATATTATTTCCTTCGGAACCCCTGTATAAAAAAAAATTCAAACTTGATGAACTATTTCAGAATAATCAACGTAAAAGATCTACAGGGCGAATATTACACTCAACAAAAAAATCAACTTCGCAGGATAAAAATATACTCGTATATATAAGAATTTTCAGATATCACTAAAATATTTCAATTTTTCAATTTGTAAATAATGAAATAATCTGAACCATCAGAGTCAAAATTTTATTAATATGAAGGTACGCTAATGATATGAGTGGAAATATTGCTTTCGAAGGTTCCAAATCCTGAGGAAATGTTGATATTATACAGGGTGTCCCTGAATTTACCTGCCAAACTGCCCCAGCGGCTTTTAAATTTGGCAACGTTATGCATAAGATGTGAGTGTAACAATATTTTTGAATCGATTTTCCTCGAAAATGATACATCTGATCGATACGAAACAGGAACACCTTTTGATGGAAAGATGCGAATTTTCATAATCCGAAATTAAGTTGTCGAATAGTCAGAAACTATCAAAGAGCTAGAGCAATATTGAATCTATTCCCTCACTGATGTATTATACACTCCTGGATCAAATTTTATCACATGGCGTTTCGGAAATATCCAAGAAATATAATATTCAGGAGTCCCCTTTCAGGGGGTTGTAGCCCCCTGAAGAGACATTTCTCGACTCATGTTCATTGAAACTTTTCATCCTATGTTTCGTCGTAGAAGCCACAGGTGAATTTTTTCAGGCTGATTCCCGTACACCCTGTATATTTAAAAATCTGTTCATGTACTGAAGATCCAGGGAATTTATGAATAACCTTATTATTCTCCATAAAATGTGTGAGGTCGAGCATTCGATTGAATTTTCTGTATATGTATAAGTAATTTGAATAACCCAATTATTTTCTTTTATCTGAGATTCAACTAGAAAGTATTCATTTCATGGCTCTACAGGGTGTCCCATGAGTCATATACTCATCGAAAGGAGTGGGGTAATAAAGAGGGTCTTTTCCAA